GCGTTTCAGGTAAAGGCCATAAGCAGGCGCAATCGTGAACCGGAAAGCACCCCACGATGCTGGATGAGGATGGTCGAATAACCACTTGATATCGCTCATTTTCATTTGACCCTGAGCAGCTTTGACCATGCAACAGACCATTCGACGAATCTATGAAAACACAGTCTTAAATTAATTGACATATTAACCAATGACGAAAATATTCAATAAAATAACAAAAGATAAATTTTTATTTTGCAATTATTGCCTCATTTAAGGACCATATGTAAAATTTCTTTATGAACTGGCCGATTGGGGAAAATGCATTTGCATGCATCTCATCGCTTCACACTACGCATCTGCTGTTATTTCTACTGCATTTCCGAATGTGATTTCAAAGTGATAAGACAGCTACGTGATCTTCGAAACCTCTCTATCAGTGAACTGATTAGTTTCGAATGTCCCTTATCAGCATATCTTTCGGAGCGTGCACAAAGCAAGAATCAGCTCAGACGTAGGAGATTATCCCTGCATGAAGACCTTTGGCGTTACGCCTCCTGCTTTCCCTCTACTAGGTCCCACTTTGTTGTGATGTCTGCATTGACTGACCCTTACCGCAGGTCTGTCATTCTAGTCCCGGTAAACATTCACAGTAGCGACTGCAGGTAACTGTACCTTAGCATGCTTTGTATGTAGTGAATGTAGTGTCTTATTTAATTTCTTGCATTTCTCAATGATGCTACTGATTCTTTGTTAACTGCTTTGTTTGCGTTCAAGTACAGCTATTTCTCAATTCACAGATTGTAATGTATGCTTTTGCTCAACACTAGAATTGTTCTTGACTTTAATCATGCGATATACAATAAACAACATAGAAACAAACAAAAACAAGATTACAACACTTTAAACTGACCGTCACAATCCCATTGCACGTGCAAAGCACCAAAAGACATTATCCTTCACCCACACGGCGCTTCCACAGAAACACCATACACGAGAATAGCTATCATTTTAATTAAAGATTAACAGCGTGCTCTATTTTGTGCAAGTGAGCCGCTTGTACATTTTAATCGGTGCCGATGACATCGTGTTACTGAGCGAACAGCGATGACACCATCCGCTCTCAGTTAAAGCAGTACACAAAACCGCAGTCGAAATAGGCCACCAGCTGAACCTTGCAAAGATAAAAGTGATGAAAACCACAGGTAATGTAATCCTCATGGAAACCGTACCTCGAAGAAGTTTCGCAGTTCAGATATTTGGACGCATCACGATGGATGGAAACTGTGCACAGGATCTGAACAAAAGAATGGCTCGGTGTCGTTCAACTTAAAGAACCTTACGAATATGTGAACTCAAAGAGGAATAGCAATTGCCACCCAGATCTGACTCAACGGCAGTGCTGTCAGATCAGTTCTGCTCTACGGACTGGAAATGGTTGCGTTTACAGGAGTACATGACCATCGACTGGACAGCATACGAAAGCGCTGGCTGCTTCAAATGGGACAACCACATAAAAAATAATGGAATCTTGGCACTAGGCGACCTCACTGATGTATCAAAGATGCTGAAAGAGAGACGAATGACGTGGTTGGATCATTTGCAACGAAGCGACGAAGCCTCACTGACGGAGGAAATTAAACAGAGATCTGTTGTTGACGAGGAATCTATCCTTCATCGACGCAAGTAATACCTGCTAATACCAATGTGGGATAAGTGGAGATGGGCGGATATCACAAGTCTTAAGCAATTTGCTGGCTTGCAGAAATGCCAAAGATGATTATAACAAACACACAAATCTAAATGAATAAACGTAAGGAAAAATTAAACCATTAAATAGAGAAACTCTACTACGCACCTGCTTGTATAGAAACGACTTTGCAATAATGTTCACGTCATAAAATGTGTAACATTTTGAGCTCAAATCATATTCGCTGTCCATCAGAGGGCGTCCCAGCTCAATGCCGGTATAGAAGACGCTTCGTTCCGTAGGCACAGATGCTGCTCTCACATGATCTTTTGAATGGTTCATAAGTGAAGCAAAGTTATGATAGCCACGGAACATGGCAGCAGCTTCCCTAAATTTGTAAGGGTCGAAATTCGATGGCAGAAACCAGCATCGATTATGCTCGCCGATCGGATATGAGGTCATTTCGCAGTTTGTTTCGCATAACTCGTCGTAGCCGTACTTAAGTACAGCCAACCTGTAAAGGTAGTGGCGACTCACGGCATGTCTTCGCGGGCAGAAACCGTCAGACACGATTCGACATCCAATTAACCTGCAAAGCAATAGAAATACAGGAAAATACTATAAAGCCAACACAAGACAATGGCTATCAATAACAATTAAACAAGTTTCCATTTCATTAAAGAGCTATAATTAACGGAGAAGGACTATAGCGGTTGGCATCAGTAGGATAGCCTGAGAAGTAGAAAGGCAGAAAATTATTCAAAACTTAAAATTGAGAAGAACAAAGACCAATATGCCTAAAGACATTGACGAATACAGTTCATCTTGATGAAAAGGAACACTTATGGATCTTGTGAAAGATAAAGGTTTTTATATGCTGCTATTTTCACTCGATAAATGCTTACGTGACAAAACAGTTTCAAAAGAAGTATAGAACACGCTGTTCGTTATCAGGCAAAAGTGTAGTGCAGCCATCCAGGCTCTTTGTGAACTTCCCATTTGCTTGGTGTGCAGTGTCTTAATAGCACACAGCAACAAGCATACAAAAGAACTATATTTACCGTAAAAAATATGCAACTACATAAGCAGAATCATCAAAGGCCTTCCAGTGGATGCCGTTTCTCATTGTCTTCAATGGTAATGGTGTTTTCCGGTGGTGCTATTCAACTTTGGCCATGAACAGAATCCCACGATACCCGTGATGAATCGCGAGGTTAGAAGCACTTCGATGTCTACCTGACGTTTCAGTTGTAAATTAGCATCCCGCTGGGCTTACTGACTTATTTTCTATTGACCTGTCAGTGGTTGAGTAGCGTTCAGTCATTCCTTGGATCCATCGCCTTGCTAAATGACAGCCCGTAGTGGAGCTGGCACTACAAAAGTACAAATGGGAGATTCTCAAAAATCATAATTATACAGAAATAAAGAAAGTCAACAGAATCACATCTCGATGGACACACGATAAAATAGGCATTTGTCGTGTCCATGTTACCGTCCAGAATGGTAATTCGTTTATACCGGTATAGACTGAAACAAATTTGTTTTTCAGTCCAGACTGGTAATGTATGGTTTTTACCGAATTAATGCCCAAGCCCCAGCCTAAATCAAAGTCGCAGCGTAAACTTATGCATGCAAGAGACAATGATGATGCTTAGTTGTGAGGAAAGGTTTAGTAATAAGCCAGTGAAACTGCGGATTATCGGCTTTGACTAAACCGCTAATCAGTGGCCATACTGGGCATGGGCTGAGTTATGAATTAATTTCAGTCTATACCGGTATAAAAGGAC